GGAGGAACTCTGGTCCAGAGGAGGGGCCTGCCCTCCATCCACTGGCCTCGGTGCAGCTCAGGTGGAGACCTGACTGAGTGAATGTAGCCCGGCTGCTTGGGAGGCCTGAGTGGAGGGGAAGGCACAGCACGGCTTTAACACGAGGGCCCACTCCTGGGAGGGGGGCCATCAGGACTCAGTGCTCGGTCCCCTAGTTGGTGTGTAAAAGCCCCTTGTGATGTGCTGATTCTCGTGACCTCCTCCAGGAACTTGAGCACCTTTAGCATCTCCGCCATCTCTTCTCGTATAGACTGCAGGGGTCGCACTCTCTTCAGTTCTTGGACGAGAAAACTGATTTCCTTCCTCAAGCTCAGGTTGGCCGTCATCAGCTTTCTGTAGGTGTCAGCGAGGCATGGTGTATTTACTGGCTCCTTCCCTAGCCTGGCATCCTTTAGAGTTGTCTCCACCCTGGCACACTCCTGTTTAGCCACATAAAGCTGGTCAATGAGGTGGCACTTCTCTTGGATCTGTGCAGCCAGTGTTTTTGCCAGTTGCTTTTCACGTCTTCTATTAACTTGACTTGTAACAGACTGAATAAGTCGGAAAGTAAATAAAATACTGAGCAATAAGGTGAGGACAGGCGGACTCAACGCTGTCTCCCAGGGGAGGCTCTGGAACATGAGCTGGGAACACAGGCCTTTGGGCAGCAGCACCACCAGGACCGCATTCAGCGACCTAAGGATCAGCCCGAAGCCAAGCTCCACAGAGGACAGCAGCCCCTCCATGGCACTGACCCACCCAGGGCTCTGCCCAGTTGCCGTGGCTCCGCCAGCCACAACAAGCCCCCGGGGACACCCCAACATTCCGCCTGGAACCCAACCAGCACCTGACATCCTGGATTGGTCATTATCTGGTCAGTGTCGGTGGGGAGGAGGGGGCTTGTCAGAGGAGAAGGTTGTGACTAAAATTTCATTTTCTCCATCATTGTCTAATGGTCAATCTTTTCTTACCTCTTTCTTTTTGTGTTTATATCCATATACAATAAAAATATAGTGAAAAGTGTCACAGTAAAGTATATGATTTCACAAATCTTTCAAATTCCTAGCCCTCGACAGTACTGGAGAAGTCAGTGTATGAACCATATGTCTGAGTCACATCCGTTAACACAGAATATATGCCCTCTGTCACATTTCAGTTGAAATACACACACTCTCACGACATGCATCCATCAGTTTGATGGTGGCTGAACTTGATAACAGTGAAAAAAATCACAAGGTTTACTTTGATGTCTGTCTCTTTTGCTCTAAGTAATGTCATTAGAGCTACATGTTTTTATTTGAATATGCCATTCATTCTGTTTGTAAGGCTGAATAATTTGACCTTGCAAGATTATATCACAAAATATTAATCCATTCTCTTAATTATGGACGTTTGGGCTAGTTCAAATGTGGG